CCCTTTCTCTATAGACTGGAGTGACTCATCTCTCAAATCCATGCTTGCACAAAAAGGATTCCTCCGTAACCATATTCTTGGTATAATTTCTCTATTTCACTTGTAAAAAAAAAGGATGAATTTTCAACAGATAAGTCGTTGCTTGTCCAACTTAAACATTTGCCACTTCTGTAATTTATTTCAGTACCTTTTTTTTTTTTAAATAAACACATGCTCTGGGGGCATGGGCTACAGATTTCACTTAAAATATTTGGACCAGATTTCTGATTTGATGACGAAACAGAACAGTTACACAAAGAAATGCCTTTATTTACGGTACATACATGTATGTATAAACAAGAAAGTGTTCACTTTTCAGGTCAGGACATCTGATCACTGGCTACTCAGAAACACACTGTTTTCCCCACCTGGTGTGTTTCTGTCTCATTTACATAAATGTACATGTTTGTTCATGTTGCTGGAGTACAGGATTTCCTAATCTAAAATCGTGGGGAAAAAAGCAACCTAGCAAATGCCAACTGTTGAGACGCTCCTTAAAGACAGGGAATAACTTGGCACTTCAAGTTAACAAAAGCCCTGCAGAGGATGCAGGACCCCAAAATAACTATTCCAACTCTGATTTGGAGCCTTTCTCCGATTGCAGCTAGGGATGAAGGCCCTAAAAAAGGTCCACACCTGTGGCAATGTCATTTCACCTGTCACTTCCTACCGCTGCGCCTATTTGAGGAAACGCATCCCGAGTAGCGATTGGAAACCAGCAGAGCTCAAAAACACAGAGTTAAACAAAAAAAGACAGAGATAGGACAGAGGGAGAGGCAGTGATTTGTTTTTCAATACATTTGTCATTCGCAGAAAACAATGAACCATGATTCAACTCTTTCACGATATGCAGGTTTAATGCTACCAGTAGACACATGGGTACTCTGCCATTTTATTTCTAGAGAGACAACAGACAAAGGCAAGAAAATTAGAGTGGCAATGTACCAGTATGTGTTGATGTACTGCAGGGTGGCATTCCAGTATGGCTTCAGGCAAAGTAAACCAGGATTTTATCACTTGGAAAAATGATTCACTTCTCTGACGCCAAAATGTGAACCCGTGTTAAACTACACAACACAGGCAGCAGAGTTTTAAAAATGCAAAATGCAAAAGGTCGCTGCACCCTTAGCTTTAGCCCATTACAATGGTTAGTCCCTTCTCTCGCCACGTTCATAATCGACCTCCACCCCGCACATGTGCAGTAACACCTTGCGGACAAGGTAAACTGCACTTTATTCACAAATCTCTTCTCCTTCTCTCCAAACTCCCTTCCCCCTCCCACATCAGAGAGACTGCCGCAGCAGGAAACATGGAAGCGTGCTATCCCAAGGTCGCCAGACGTGTCACTTTAATCGCTCCATGACTTATTAGACAATCATTAGGCCAGCCCTTTTGTGTCTAATGCTGGGGGGGCAGCTGGTTCACAGGGCTAATGTAACTCAGGCCAAATTCAACCCATAACAGGAAACGTGCGTGCCCACCTACGCAAGTTGTTGTGGATTTCAGGGGGAACAGCAGTTGTTTTAATGGCTGAAATAAGAAAGGTACAGCATGGATGAGCCACGTCCACAAGGCGGAAAGGGAAATGATTTTCGTTAGTGGGGACCTGGAAAATTCAAAATGTACAGTGAATCGAGATCCTGTTATCAAAGAGAGATGCAGTATGGTACACTCAACATGAAAAGATCATAACACTGGTCAGTTGTCCATCTGACCAAGCAAATGGTAAACTGTATCTGAAAGTTAATATTTTCACAAGGTTAAACTCTAGCTGAGGGGTCAGTCCATGGTATAAAAGCAAAAACCTCTTCAAGCTTGGGAAGACCGAGTGCTGAAAAGTACAGCTAGGGGTGGTTCACAGGTTTCAGCACGAGCCCAATGGGCATAAATGTAGACGTACATGTTCAGTCCTGTACATGTACATGTACAGAAGTGCAGTCACCTGACGGTTACCATCTACTCTGATCCTATCATTCATGTTGCATTAGTACTGACTAATCTGATGAAACCTTTCATTAGCAAGGTGCAGCAGGGCAGCAGGGGTGCGTTGGCGTTGCGTTGGTGGAATGCCCAGCATTACATATAGAAGTACTTCCAGACAGGTTTAAGACCCTGTGAATTTCTGTGATAGCCATCAGCGTGTGTATCACTTTGACGAGGGGAGACAATTGCTGCAAGAAGTCCAAGAGTGTCGAGGAGCAAGTGCCCTTCACGTCATAAAACCTGTTAGGCTTGAAGCCGATCTTTTCTGATGCCGAGGGTCAAATGGGTAGATGCACCTGTGTGGGTGGGACTGTTGGTTGACACCAGCCCCCACAAAATCGTGGGGGAGTGAAATCGCTGTGTTCAGAATAAATTGGCAGGTTTTCTGTAAGCACTTTTATCCTATGTCCTGAGGTGTGTCATCAAAGAGCTGAAATGGTTTATGTTAATGGTACATGTATGTTCATGGGCCCAATAAATAAGGATAAAATGATGTACATGTACATAAAAGTACACATTATAAGTGGATGAGTGCGCATAAATGTAGGTTGATACTACAGGTACTATTTTATTCAAACTTCAGGCCGTATCCTAACAAAAACTCTTTCCAGGAAATATCCTCTTTCATGACCATCAAAACAAAAGACAATGTACACATGTACTGGTTGCATGTCACCTGGGCATTAAATGCCAAGTTATACCATGCATTTCAGAGCTAATGAGTACAGTGTACTTGTGAATTTAACGGCCTGAATTTAACATGTGGAGCTTCCTCTTGTCTGTTTACCCTCCTGCGGGTTTTACCCTCCTGCGGGTATTACCC